AGGGTTAAACACTAAACATTTCAGCTCTACCTGGAACCAGTCATATCAGAACATCTGGAGGTAATTCCTCAGAATTAGCCTGTTTTGAGTCCTCTTGTGATTTTAATGTGTGGCCCAACCTGAAAATCAAAGGGTCCACATCTATGGCATAAACTATTTCTGATTGAATGAACTCTTACAACCTGAAGGAGATTTAAAAATAGCTCAGAAAGTTCTCCAATGTTGGTGTCTCCTTTCCCATCCTAACCCATCTTTCTACTCTCAATTTCTCAATTTTCCTCTATAGTTTAGGATCCACTGTTCTTCCACCTGCTGTCTAGACTAAAACATTTTCTGTTTCCTTTCAGAGCCTCTGATTTGCTTCTCCAATTACCATTAAGCTTGGCAAAACAAAAATGAAAGCTATTCTTAAACCAGCTCTTGGGGAATCTCAATACAACCCAACACTAGTATTGTTACTACCTCTTCAAAGAGAGTAAAGTCCTGGAGGGGACAGTCTTGTCTTATAGTTTTTATCTTTGGTTACACTCATTCAACAAATGAGATCATATTACTTGCTCAGTAAGGAGGATGGGGGCATAGATGATGCAGGGACTTGATCTTGGAATAATGATCTTGGAATTTCTCTGCAGGGTACCCTTGACACATTCTATACTGGGGAGTTAGTCACACGTTCAAAAGAGCATTTGCAAAAAAATAATGGCTGCTGTTGAATTCAAGGGAACAGGAATTAGGAGACTATGGGAAGCAAACTTTGAGGTTTTAGGGAAACAGATGAGAAAATATTTTAGAAGTAGCACCAATGAGATAGCTTAAGATAGTATATCACTCACTGCTCTGTGTTGTTGCTCATAAAATTACTGCTATTACTCTGTAGGGGTATCTCTGTGTTTTTAAAATGCTATAAAATACAAGCATTTAACATTTTCTCAGAGGGCACAATTTAATCACTTACCAACCTTGCTTTCCTTTAAAACTTAAACACAAGCTTGGCTGTGGAGGAATGGGAGTGAAGAGCCAAATATAATTGTCCTTTTATATAATTACTTTGGCTTTCCACTTACATTTTTGTTCAAGAATCATTTTTTTTTTCCTGATCACCTTTGGTTTCTCATATAAGTGTTCAACTAACACAAAAATGTTTCATATCCAACAAACAGTAAGTCAGCTGGAAGCAAAAACAAAAATTAAAATAAGTCCCAAGCTCTTTTTGTAGATAATTCTGCATGTGATCATTATACTTTAAGTTCTTAAAAGTTATTAAATCAACCAACATGGACAAGTTAAAATGTAGTGGAACTTCTAAGGACTACACCCCCATTTCACTCATAAGTTACTGCTTGGGGTTCCCCCTACCTCCTTTTCCAGTGGAATCTTAGAGGAGTCCACACAGAGACCATGGAAGCCATTGATATGTTATAGCACACATAGTCCAGCCCTAACTCACACCCATAGTCTTTATCCAATTTTAATCTCTCTCCGTCGATTTTCAAAAGTGTCCTGATTTAGAGAATGAGTTATTTGATCATCCTAGCTCTGAAGGAGAGAGCAAAAGCTTGTACTGTGGAAGGGACAACATTCTTCAAAATAAATCAGTTCACTTTTTCTTTCCCTCTTGACACTCTGGGTGAGTGGCAGGTCTTTCAAGTCCTTATTATAGATTATGGGAGCAATAGAAGAGATAAATGAAGTCTACCATGAATATCAATGGGGACAGATAAAATATATTGATGGAAACTAGGACATTCTTCCTGATATCTAGATTTTAACATCTTATTGGCAAAAAATAGATTAAAAACTGCTTGAAAAATTCCAGCAAACCAATGATAAAAGTCATGATCATTAAGAAGCCAATGACACTGGAAAGCCAAGTTGGGTGGACTCCAAGCAGGGGGCAGCCTGGTGAGAGGCAGGACTCTGCCCTCAGTGTGGGTGGGTTGACGTCACCACCATTCCTCCTCTGGAGCTGACAACTGCATCATTCTTGGGCAACTGGATTAACCTCTCTGTCCCTTGCTTTTCCAAACTGGAAAATGAGAAGAATCAAACCACATCACTAACCAAGACATGGCTTTTATTTTTACAAATGAAAGTCTTATTTCAGGATTTATTTATTTTTTTCTTAGTTAGAAACTTCTGAAAGAGAGGAAGTAAACCTGTGTCCCTACTGGATTTGTGAACTATTTTCTTAGACTAAGTTAAAGAACTCCAAAATTGTGTTGTATGCAATTTTTATCTTAAAAATCTACAATTTAGTGCTGGGGTATGGTAGTGGAGCATGTGCTTAGCATGCATGAAGCTCTGGGTTTGATTCCCAGCCCCCCCCAAAATAAATTAATTAAAATAAATTAAAAATTTAAAAATCCATGATTTTCATTTAGGTGACATATGAACACCTTCACAAACTGGATGAAATTGATGCTTATTTTTGTGTCTTCACAAATTCGTCCAAATAAGATAAAAAATCTTTTTGTGTCCCTGAAAGTAGAAGTCTAGATTCATTTTTAGAATGTTTATATAAACACAGACGACATTTGAGGAACTGACTGGTTTCAAATCCCAGAAGTCAGCAAAATGAAAAAAAAAATACTGTTTATTTTTAAAGGCAAGCATAATAGATTTCTAAGTCAGTCTGTTATGGGTGCCAGTGTTCCTAGACCAAAGTCAGAGAATATTTGAACATAAAAAATGAATATTTTTTTAACCTTCTTTTCTAAGGCACTAGATCTTCTTACTCCTCTCCCCAGTTATACCAGTCAAGATAGTGATGTGTGGTCCAGAGCCTTGCTACCTAAAGTAGTCAAAATAAAATCTTATAGCAGGGACACTGCCTGGGAGAAGCACACTCTCAGGCCAATGCTCCAGAACTGCTGCGTCAGACCCTGCATTTTAACAAGCTCTCCTGGTGGTTTTTATGCACAGTCAAGTTCAAGGAGCACTGGATCAGAGAACGCTTGGCTAGACATAGGAGAGATCATAACACAATTCAGTCAAATAGAGGAGCAGGTAGAATTAAACTGCCTTGTGCTTTGCCTCCAAATGGAAAAACTAACAGGCATCTACTAAGGCCCCTTTTCTTTCCCTTATGCACACACTGACACCATTCTCTGTCTTTTCTTACTGCTTGCTCTCAGTATTATTTCATGTTATCTGCATGATGGTGACATGATCATGCTTAAACTTTGCAAATGCTATTACTTTTCAAATGTTCAAATTTTTCTCTAACGTTACTTCACTTTCAACCCTACAAATGTCCTATTTACACAGCCCATATCTATTTCCTTTTCTTTGAGACTCTTTCCTTTACCAAAGCAGACATAAGATGAAGGAGAAGAATGGTTTGGCTTGCGAATGTACTGATTCCGGGAGTGCAGCCATGACCAGTGCCAGCTAGAATTGGGTGAATGATACCAGGGGTAAAGTGGAACCCAAGATCTTCATCAACAAAAGCAGGGGCATAGCTTTAGTCATGGGTAATGGAGAAATCTTTGGCAGCATGAACCACAGCTGATGGAAATATTTGTTTTAATTTTCTTTGAGGGCTGAAACATGGCACACTCTTGGCTAATAGCACTTTCCAGAAAAATCATCAATGGAAGAAGATAGTTAGAATATTTTCTTTTCTAAGGGCATTTCCACTAATGCATCACAAAGCTTCCCAATTAAAATTAGGATAAAGAATGTGGATGATTCTTGATTGGAGAAGACAGAGGAAAACTTAATGTGGGGACAGGGTAGAAAGAACAAAAGCTTTAGGATCAGATAGACATACTGGAGTTCAAATCCCACATCTGCCACTTATAAACTTTGAACTTGACCAAATGACTTGAAGTCCCTGAGCCTCAGGTTTTTCATATGTAAAATGAGAATAATGATATTTATCTTGAAGAATTATTTTAGAGAACTAAATGGAATAATGAAGTTATGGACTGTAGCAGAGGACCTGGCGTGTAATCACTCAATGAATGGCAAATATGTGCCTTTTGCCTTATTCTGAGTTTTTGGCAGGATTACTTCCTATGACTGGCTATATAACCTGAGAGATAGTGGAAGCCAAGTTCATAATTTTATGTACTCATAGAAGAATTATAAACAGATGCATGGTTGTTATTTTGAGTGAGCTATACTACTGTGCTAAAGGACAAGGCTGATTAGTTTGAATAAATATTAAGCCTAGTATGATTTCGGAATTCCTCTGTAGCCTCCAAAAAGAGAGAACCCATAGCAATCTTCAAATGTTTTTCAGTATTTAGGAGTGACTCTTTCTCTTCACTGTCTTGTTTTTGACAACTATGTAAAAAGTATTTCTAAAAAAGACAATATTACTGAAAGCTACTGAATGTCACTGATTTTCATCGTTCACTTTTTCATTCAGGCATTAATTCAACATTTGACTCCCTACTGTGCCAGATACTGAGTCAGGGGCCAAGAGCACAGCAGTCAACAACAAATACACACACACACACACACACAAATTTTGGTAAGAATGCCCAAGAAATGGGATTATATATTATAACAATAGAGAGTCACGTGCTGCACAGCAATGTTTCAGTCCAAGAGGGGCTGCATGTGTGATAGTGGCCCCACATAGCCTAGGTTGTAGTAGGCAAGGCTATTGGTTTATGTAAGTCCACATTGTTCAGACATTAACAATGAAATGGCCTAATGACTTATTCCTTAGGTTGTAACCCTTCCAAGCAGATGCAGGACTGTAGTACTTTCCTCCTAATTTCTATCTTGACACAAAGCAGTCCTCTCCTCACTCCCTTTTTACACAAGTTTGTATTGTGCCTTTTTCTCATCCTTTGAAAATTTATAGCTTTCCAGGAAGTTTTTTTTTTCTTGTATTTGGGATGTTAAATATCATTTGGCTTATTGCTATTAAATCTCTTTCCAACTTTTCTTCTATAATGGGATTCTAACTGGCTAATTTGTATTTTATGGAATTATTTTTTGTAAGAATCATGACTAAATTCTAGCTACTTTATTCTTACTTACAGCAGGTTTACTGGATTGCAAATCTTCAGAAAATGGAGAAACAGAGCAGAACCACAATCACGGACAAAGAAGACTTTGTTTACAGATGCCCTAGGCCCATTCATAGGCAGTTTGCTTCACCAAGGTATGGGTACTTGTGGATGACAGAAAACGTTGTGGTAGATGATAACTCCATTTGCTCATTTCTATGTCTGCACACTCTGCAAGACTCCGATGAAGAGTTGGAATTTATTTCCCACCTCCTGAATCTGAACTGGATTTGTGGCTTGGGTTAACTAACAGAATAAAGAGAAAATGAGTTTTATTTCAGTTTTGCATCTCGACTTCAAGAGGGTTTGTGCAAATGTTATGAAAATTATTTAGAGTATCCTGCTGGTATATGGATACCTGTGGTCTAGTTGGCTCGATCACCTAGCCTACAGACACATGAGAGAGTCCATCCCAGACCAGTTCCAGTAACAACCCCACTGATGATAATAAGCCTGATGGAAGGATGGATTGCATAAGCAGAATCTTGTTTTAGAAGACTATGTAAGAAGGATGATAATAAGCCTGATGGAAGGTGGATTAGATAAGCAAAATCACATAGCTGAAGTAGTTTGTTATGTAGCAATAACTAATGATTATAAATATATTTGAATGATTTCATATTTTTTTTAGGTGATACCACTTTTATTTTCCACCATCTCCTTTCAGTATGAATTCCACCCTTAGGGAAAAAAATTTCTTATTTTATCCTTTGATTGGCAAGAACATCCTAAGGTATTGATGTCCTAGTGAATGTTTTATAATAAAGATTTTAGGAAAAACTGTGTGTGTGTGTGTGTGTTTACATACATATATATGTTTATTATAAATTTTATATATAAAAAGAATGTGTAGTACATAAGTCACAAATAATAAAATATGCAATATTCTTATGAATTTCATATCCATTCCATTCTCACACAACTATTTTAGTAAGTTTTTCAGAACTTATTATGCATAGCCCACTTCCTGTTGCAAATACCACCAATATTTGACAAATGAAATTTCACCCCAATCTGATACCACTCCCAGTAAATTTTTGCCACTAAAGGTGATATACAATTTACTGTTGAGAAATTTCTTAACTTGTTCAAAATTGCATTCATTAAATTGTAACTCCTTTTGGCTTCAATATTAGATATAATGCAGCATTTCATTTAATTTGGATTATTAGCATTTTCTCCATCATATTCTTTAGCCTAAACAACAACAGGATAATAAATCAAGCCTTGATTTTCAATGCTGCCTATTTCAATGGTGGAACATTTCCACTGTGACCATTTTCAACCTACTAGTACATCGTAACTGAACATGGGCCTAGAAGAGAAACACAGAAGCAACCATCATACGATGTTTCTATCATGCTGATACAATGGAGATAAATAACCTCAAGAATATAGGTAATATTTAAATATAGTAAAATGCTGAGAACTAATAAGTTTTTAGAGTCTATGACTTTTGTTTTTAACATAATTTATTGAATTATACGTTTATATAATTAATTTTTAAATGACAGGCATGTTGAACAAATGGCTTGTTAAATTCTTACAAATATTAACAAAGAGATGAACTGGTTTCAGTCCAGCCCTGCTGAAGAATGCTGGAAATACTTAATGGTTCTAATTATAACAAGAGCTCCCATTCATCTAGTGCTCACTAGATTCCAGTCATTGTTCTAAGTATTTTACTGATGTGACATGGAGGAGTAGACAGGAAAGATGAAATCTAGATAGTGTAAGCTTAGATACAGAAGCAATATTCAGCAGTGATGGTGAAACAGTAGTCTAGAAACATTTGGTGATTTTGAGAAGATGCAATTTTTCAAAACTGGATGTGAAACATAATTTGTAACCTCAAGAGAGCTCACAAGGGAAATTACATCCATGGAAGTAAATTTGCTCATTGCTTGAACACAACTCCAGATTTATACACAGAATGGATTCCATGGCAACAGTATAGGTGGACCATAGATTGTGGCCTAATCTAGAACTTGAACTGGCATACGAAGCAGTATATATATATATATGTTTCAGGTCAATAAAAATAGCAGTTTTCCAATGTAGTTTACATTCATGCTGCTTAAGTTTGAGAAAGCATCAACTTTGTTGATATTATTATGTTATTTTATTAATAGAGCTGTGGGATCACTGGAGATTTGGGGGCCAATCACCCATTTCTTAAGTTGTAACTCCTTTTGGCTTCAATATCAGATATGACACAGCATTTAATGTATACCACCAAACTCTTGGTATCACTGGAACAAAGGTGTGACCACCTTCCCCATGACTCCAAGTATGTGGCAGAAATGAGAAAATAGTGCAGATAATACAACCTCCCCAATACCTTACCTGTCTCCTTTCTCTTTGCATAGTCTTGGTTTCCTGTGAATGAATCTTTCCAAAGTCTTTGGTGAAACAAAAGTTACTCAAAGCAGTGCAATGGGTGTGATTTAGCTTCCACAAAACAGGTTATTTGGGTGTTCTCAGGTTTGTTGCTTTTTTGGCTTGTGCTCTCTTTCAAAAATGGTTTCAATTTGTTCTGAAAGAAAATTGGTGACAAAGGCATTCAGGAGACTCTGGAACACCTAACACTATGACTCAGTTCCTTGTGTTCAACTCTGAGAAGCCTCAGGGGACATGATTAGCCACAAGTGAGAAATACCACTGAGGGTTTGTTTGGTGTGGGCAAATGTGCCAGAAAATGACATGTAAAACCACTTAAAACTAATTTATGCATTGCTGTTGTGCATTACTAAGGTAAAACTCATCATTCAGATGTAAGAAATTTGGGAAATCAATTAACATACAATTGTCAAGCTCCTGCCATATGAAAATCGTTGTGGTAAATCTTGAGATGAATAAGAGTATGTAAAATCCCTGAACCTGCTTTGAGAGATGTTGCAAACTAACTGGAGAGAAAAGAAGTGGTTACCTAAAAATAGAATAAATAAGTAAATAAATAAATAACACAGAAGAGGATGATACTGTTCAGGTTAAGCTTTGGTGGCTTGGGAACAACATCCTTGAGAAGAACTGAGAAGTACTTTGATGGGTGATAAGTGCATGAAGTACAGAAGGAGAATTTGGCTCTAGGGTTAATGTAGGAAAGTTTGAACTCTATCTGGGAGGCAATGGAAAGCCACCGAACAGTCAACTTACAGAAATACTGAAGTAATAGTTGCTACAGAAAAGGTCAGTAGCAACAGATAGAGTTGCAGTGAGGATACTCTTGCAGTATGAACTGAATTTGATGTTTGGTTCTACCATTTATTAGTCAAATGACCCTTAGCAAGTTACTCATATCTCTAAACTTCAGTGTTTCACCCCAACAACAACAATAAATATTAACAGCATCTTTCTTATTCGATTTTTTTTTTTTGTGACAAGTAAGTGAAATACAAAGGTAGAACACTTAGAATAGTGCCTGAGCCAGAAAAAGTTATAACAAAAATAAGGATCATAATTATATTCTTGGCAGCAGAGATTTGAACCAAGTAGTAAGAGTGGCAATGAAATTGTATGGGAGGAAAAGTACAGAATTTTCAAGAGTCCAGACATAGCAAGCCAAAGAGGGAACAATATCAAAGTGGATTCAGGCTTAAAGCCTAAAAAACAGATGATACCACTATGGTGCATGGAAAATCGGCCAGGCAGGAGAAAAGCAAGTGATTTTTCCAGCATACTCACTGTCTATGTGTAGCGTCTTGTATTCTCCCTCATATCAGACACAGGAAAAGTCACAGAAAGATCTTGGGAATAGAACTGGTAGAGAGGGAAGTGTCGGCAGTGGGCAATATGGTGGAAGACTAGGATCACTGGGAGCCTGTCATAGTCATCTTGGTCAGTTCTGGAAGGTGAGGGATGTGGTGTTGGCAAGAAGGCAACTGAAGGTTATGGGCTGCAAACAAAATATCAAGGAAGTCAAATAGTTACCAAGGTTTCAGAGAGGAGTAAAGCTTTAGTGAACTAAGTTTTTCCAGAGGAATTAGAAAATGGGAATCCAAGGGAGTACAACAAAGGAAGATTCCATGTTGGAAAGTAGGGTGGAATCATGTCTGAGGAAAGAGAAAGAGAAATAAGATAGAAAAACAGATAATGAAATTAAGTATTAAAAATAGGAATTGAGTCATGGGATGCATGAGCCTAATATTGGAACTAGAATACATCAGCAGTTCAAGGCAAAAGAATTCTCTTTTCATTTTATAATATTGTACTATTTTTATTAAATATTCAATATGCTGAAAATATTTATAAAATATGTATAAGGTATAAGAAAAGTCACAGAGACATATCCAGGTTTTATGGAGTTATAAAGTTTACACAATTAATGGAGATTTCTTAAAAAACACAAACAAAACCAAAAACCCCCACAAATGCAAAATTAGATATAACAACAGTCATTTCTTTAGAATTGAAAAAAAATGTGACAAACCTTTAAAAAGGATAAAATTACTCCAAACTTTACAAAATGCAGAAAAATATATTTATTTAGTGGTTTATTTTTTCTTTATTTTTAGTTGCATACTGGGAAAGAGATGCAGTCTTTTAGCCTTTTGACAGTTAGTTTACCCAGTAGAGAGAATATAGATAACAATATTTTAAAGTATAGTTACAAAAAGCTGGAAGAGTCAGATGCTGTGTCGCACGCCAGTAATCCAAGCTACATAGGGGAGACTGAGGCAGGAGAATCACAAGTTCCAGGCTAGCTTGGGAAACTTAGCAAGACCCTGTCTCAAAATAAAAATAAAAAGGGCTAAGGTGTAGCTCAGTGGTAAAGGGTCCTTCAGTTGAATTCATAGCCCATAGAACTTAAAAAAAAATAAAAAAGGAAAAAAAAAAAGAAAGAAAGAAAAAAATAACAAATTAGTAAAAAGAATTTTAAATGTTTTCACCAAAAGGAAATGATAAGTGTTTGAGGTAGAGATAGCTATGCTTATCCTTAATTGAATATCACTTGATGTATATATATATATATATATATATATATATATTAAAGCATCACAGTGTAGTCCATAAATATGCACTATATAAGTATACAGTATGTAGGTGTGTGTATACATATAAAATACTATATATATATATATATATATATATATATATATGAAAAAAAATGTATATATATATAATATGAAAATACATTTTAATTAATGTTTGTTCTAGCCCTGAGTATAAGTTTTCTGAGAGCAAGTGGTAAGGAGAAAAATGAATGAGGAGGAAATGGCAGGAGGTAGAACAGTCCCAGGAGCACTCTATGTGTCTGTCAATCAAATGGAGGAATGTAGAACCCTGCTGAGATTCGCTTACACCAGGCATTGGTTATGCCTAGAAATCCATCCTGTGCAGGACTAGTCATGCTGTGCATCTCTACTTACCTATTATGTTGGTGTTTAAGATAAAATGAAGGCAAAGAGCAGTGTAAGGCAGGAACTGCAAGGCAGGGGAGAAACTGGGACACAGATGGGCTTTGATGATGTGGTTAGATGGCATTAAAAACTGAAACACATTTTTATTTTAACAAGGATGTGTTTACATGTATTCATGCAATTAAAAATAAGAGATAAATAAACTTGGTAAGGAGGGGGAAATAAAGTAGTTTTGTTTGTTCTGATAAGAAAATATGTCTATCATTTATTTTTAAAAAAATTTAAACCTGATTAAAAGAACAGGATGAATAGAACTGATCAATTTGTGATAAAAGTAACACGCACATGAAACTACATATAAAACTGTTTCTAAAGTGTGTTACATCAGAGGAATGGTATTGGTACAGGAACACACGTAAGATTTATTTAATCAGATATTTTTTCTTTTACTTTTTACAAGGAATATCTATTTTATTAAAATAGAAATTAATGCCTCAACCAGATACAGCAGTGAGTGAGACTGACTGAGCTGGAAAAACTCGAAGCTTTCCTAAGCAATATTTAATCAACTATAGCCTGTGTCTCAGTCGGTTCTGGCTTCTATAACAAAATATCATAGACTGGGTGGTTTCTAAACAGAAGTTTAATTCTTACAGTTCTAAAGGTGGGGAAGTCCAAGATCAAGACACAAGCAGATGCAGTGTCTGAAGAGGACCTTCTTCTTGTGTGGCTCTCCTTTCTCTGTGGCCTAACCTTCCTGAAGGGACAAAGCAACTCTTTTATCAGCACACTTATATCATTTATGAGGGCTCTGCCCTAATCACCCAGCCACCTCCCTGAGGCCCCATCTCCAAATGCCATCACACTGGGGAATAGCTTTCAACATAAAAATTTTGGGAGACATTCAGACCAAAGCAGCCTATAATTTTATTAGTCATCTTTAGTCAGCCCAGAAAATTAACATGTGCTAGTAGACTCCAGAGTTTCAAATTATCATAACTCAAGAGTGTGGCATGATACTAAAATTCTCCCCCAGGAAACACAAAATCCTCCTTGGGTTATTAAGAAAAGAAAAACACTGTATGAATGAAGGATTTTAAACTAAAGAGTGCTATAGAAATAGCAGAAATTGTTATTGCTTTAATAATTATTATCATATTTTATAATGAATGACATATTTAAAATGGTGAAAGATTCCAATTTTATAAAAGTCTGTTTAATCTGTTCTATGAAATTTTCATATAATATAAATGATTCCTTTCATCCAGTTTCCTATGATAGTTTTGTACATAGAAACCATTAAAAGCAATAGAAACCATTTTCTTAGGTAAAATTTACTTTAAGCAAAATGGTACAACCTATTCTTTACCTACAATTCTAGTGGTAGATGAAGAAAATAATATGTAATTATATATACATATTTAGATAGACATAAATATATAAATAAGAGCTTACTTTAAAATTTGACTATAAAATAATGAAAGTTTATAAATATGATTTATAAATTAAAATTATAAATAAAATCATTGAAAACATTTCTAAAATCCATCAATTATAAACAAACCCTCAACTAATCACTCAGTATTCCTCCTCTAAATCTTTTCTAAAAAGTTTCTTTTACACACACACACACACACACACATACACACGCACATACAAACACATATTCAGCCACCATAAACACCCTGCATACATTTCTTTTCTAAGTTAAGATCATACATTTGCTAATTCTTTATTTTTTCCCACCATTCTGAACATTTTCTTAAAATTGCATTATTTAGAGGACTTTGGTGGTTTGATCAACTGACCTAATTGAAAGGAGTTAATAAAGGCATGTTTTATAAGTGTGTGGACATGATCAGGGAGGGCATCAATAAGGGATAGTAAGGTACCTGGGCATCATTTTTATTCCAGCCTGAAGGGCAAAGGAGTATAATGGTTACTAGAATTTGTAGACAGTTATCACTGTCAGAGAGAATGGTTGAAAGTGGTAAACAGCCATTGTCATGCCAAGGCTGGAAGTGGGTAAGCATGAGACATAAATGCCCCAGTTTCCTACTGTCTTTTCCAATCTCCAGATGCTGCGTCCCATTGGTCTAGTCAAACCAGAATCAGAACACAAAGAAATCTATTGATGGTACCTGAAGAGGGCAGCCACTGGGAAAAGAGGTGGTAGAGAAATGTGGAGAGTATATATGAAATGGTAAATACCTAAAAAACACATTCTTTTCAGTGTTTCCCCTCCTACCTTTTCACTACTATATAAACAAGGTGTGAGAAGTATTGTTGCAGACAAAACTTAACACCTAATTCTTCAGCAACATTGAGAAAGTACCTTGAATGACGGAACAATCAGCCTACCCTGTCACTGACAGGATTGTTGAAAAGTGTGTCTGCTTTCAGCATCCCATGAAAGATTAAAATCATATTATCTAATCAAAAATCAATTGTCCCTTGTTTTGCCCCATAGCTGGGACATTAATAAAACCCATAGGGTAGAATTTTTGATTTCCTATCTAAGCATGCAATGCATGCCATACCCAACTGGCATTTTGTAGCAGTTAACAAAACAAGGCAAAAATCACAGACCTCTAGCTCAAATACTGTTTCTGCTGACCAAAGGAAAGTAGAGTCACAAGACAAGTCAAGATCTCCAGGAGGACAAACGAAAGAGCCAAATTTTTATGTTCATCCTTTATTCTGTTATTTTTCTGAAAATAAACTCAGTGTGTAGCATGAAAGGAAGCTAGATTACAGAACTTTTGAATCTTTGTAGCATGAGGCTTTAAAGCATGGTTGGATTTGGCCCTAGCAATGTCTTACAAGCAGCAACTTAGCTTTATCCTTGTACACTCTAACAAAGGAATAAAATAAAATTATGGCTCTACCATTCACTCATCACAGTATGTTGACTATAATGGGCAGCAAATCCTTCGCTATTGTGTGAGATGCTATTATATGAATTTATATAATCTCTCCGGAAATGCCTCTAATAACAAATTGCTTCTTTTTTCTTTTAAGGAAAAAAAAGAGTTGTTTTACTTAAACTATAAACAAGAGAATGTTCTGGTTTTTCAGTCCATCAAAGCATCAGGTATGAGGGACAATTTACTAAGTAAGTGAGAAAATGATAGCATAAAACTTTAATATTCATCCAAATATACTACTAGGTTTGGAAAAAAATGAGAAAATGTTATTTCCTTGGCTTTGTTCAAGTGACTCCTAAATAGTCAGATTTCCTTTCTTTCTTTCTTTCTTTCTTTCTTTCTTTCTTTCTTTCTTTCTTTCTTTCTTTCTTTCTTTCTTTCTTTCTTTCTGGCAATTGATTTGTAGGAGTTTCTTATCTATTGTGGATAGTGTACTTTTTCAGATATATGCAGATATTTTCTCCTATCCTGTGGATTATCTTTTCATTTTGTTGTTTTCCTTTGCTGAGCAGAGCTTTAAAGTTTGATGAAATTCCACTCATCTATTTTTGCTTTTGCTTCCTATGTTTTTTTCTTTCTTTTTATCATTGCTAAAGCCAATATTAATAAACTTTTTCCCCTCTTCCTGTCTTTTTGGGATGGGCATGGGGGGTTGAACCAAGGGCTCTGTGAACCACTGAGCTACACGAGCCCTTCTTAAATTTTATTTTGAGACAGGGTTTTTCTAAATTGCCAAGTTGGACTTGAACTTAAAATCCTCCAGTCTTCTGAGTTATTGGGATTCCAGGCATGCATCACCACAGGAGGCTTCCCTGTATTTGTTGTTTGTTTTTTGCTAGGAGTTTTGTAATTTCAGGTCTTATATCCACGTCCTTACTCTGTTTCTGAGATCTTATATTCATGTCCTTGCTCTGTTTTGAGTTTGTTTTTGTGTACAGTGTGAGATAAGAGCTCAACTCCATCTTTCGCCTGGGAATATTCAGTTTTCACAGTACTACTATGTGAAGAGACTATCCTCTTAATGTTATATATTCTTGGCACCCTTGTTAAAGATCATGTGACAATAAAGTGGTGGACTTATTTATGGGATCTCTGTTCTTTATCATTGGTCAATATATTTATTTTTATACCAACTCTGTACCATTTTATTACTATAGATTTGTGATACATTTTGAAATCATGAAGTGTGGTACTTCCAACTTTATTCTTCCTTGCTCAAAATTGATTTGATAATTTGGAGTCATTTGTGGTTCCATATGCATTTTATGATCATTTTTTCTACTTCTGTGAAAAATGCCATTGTGATCTTGGAAGAGATTGCACTGAATTTGTAGATCACTTTAGGTAGATGGAGATTTTAATAATATTAATTCTTCAACTCTGTAACAAAAAACCACATAGCCTTTAATAGATTTTCTTCAAAGAAGATATACAAAAGCCTATAGACATATGAAAAGGTGCTCATGATCACTAATCAAGAGGGGAATACAAATCCCAACCATAATGAGATGCCACCTCAGACCTGTTAGGATGGCAATTTTTTGTGGGGGAGGGGGTACGGCAGAGATTGTATTTATTTATTTTTATTATTTGTTCTTTTTAGATATACATGACAGTAGAGTATATTTTGACATATGTGTATACATGGAGTAAACCTATTCCAATTAGAAGCCCATTTTTGTGGTTGTATATAATGTGGAGTTACACTGGTTATGTATTCATATATAAGGAAAGCAAAGTTATGTCTGATTCATTCTACTGTCTTTCCTATTCCCATCCCCCCTCACTTCCCTTCATTCTCCTCTATCTAATCCACTGAACTTCGATTCTTCCCCTCTCTAGCCTCCCCTGTTGTGGCTTAGCATTCACATACCAGAGAGAACTTTAGGCCTTTGGTTCTTTGGGATTGGCTTATTTCACTTGGCATGATATTCTCCAGTTCCATCCATTTACCTGCAAATGCGATAATTTCATTCTTCTTATGGCTGAGTAAGAAGAATCCAATTGTATTTATGTACCACATTTTTAAAAATCCATTCATCTCTTGAGGGGAAGCTAAGTTGGTTCCATAGTTTATCTACTGTGAATTGAGTTGCTATAAACAATGATGTGGCTGTGTCACTGTAGTATGCTGTTTTTATGTCCTTTGGTATAAACCTAGGAGTGGGAAAACTTGATCAAATGGTGGTTCCATTCCAAGTTTTTTGAGGAATCTCCATACTGGTTTCCATAGTGGTTGCACCAATTTTTAGTCCCACCAGCAATGTATGAGTTTGTTTTCTTCCTCACATCCTCGCCACCATTTATTTTTGCTTGTATTCTTGATAATTGCCATTCTGATTGGAGTGAGATGGAATCTTGTGGTAGTTTTGATTTGCATTTCTCAAATTGCTAGAGATGTTAAACATTTTTTTCATATATTTTTTGACCATTCATATTTCTTCTGTGAAGTACCAGTTCAGTTCCTTTGTCATTTATTGATTGAGTTATTTTTTTTTATGTTAAATTTTTTGAGTTCTTTTTATGTCCTGGAGATTAATGCTCTAAAGTACAGGTAGTAAAGATTCTATCTCATTCTGTAGGCTCTCTCTTCATGTTCTTGATTGTTTTCTTAACCCCACTTATTGATTCTTGATTTTACTTCTTGTACTTTAGAAGTCTTATTGAGGAAGTTGTTTCCTAAGCTGACATGGTGGAGAGTTGGGCCTACTTTTTCTTCTAGAAGGTTCAGGGTCTGTGGTCTAATGCCTAGATCCTTGATCCATTTTGAGTTGAGGTTTGTGCTAGGTGAGAGAAAGGGGTTCAACTTCATTCTACTAAATTTGGATTTCCAGTTTTCCCAGCACCATTTGGTGAAGAGTTTATCTTTTCTCCATTGTATGTTTATGTGCCTTTGTCTAGTATGAAATAACTGTATTTATGTGGGTTTATATTTGTGTCTTCTATTCTGTTCTATTAGTCTTCATGTCTGTTTTTCTGCCAGTATTATGCCATTGTTGTTACTGTGTATCTGTAGTATACTTTTAGGCCTGGTATTGTGATGAGGATGGCAATTATTAAAAAAATAGCAAGTGTTGGAGAGAATAATCAAGTATCACAAATCATCTTGATATATGAACATTTTAATTGCAATTAGAAAATGATGAGACTTATTTGTAAATAACTGACCCCTTCTCAATATAGAAAATTTATATTCATTTGCTGAGGAAAGAAATATTTCATAGTACTTGTCAAGTTTGCATCTAGATTATTTTATTTTAGAGTGTTATTTTGAAATTGTCATTTTTTTGTCTTAAATGTGTATTTATTTATTTAGTCTTTATACATGCAATTTTTTCATTACAATACTTATTACACATATATACTACAATTTTTCATATCTCTGTTTGTATATAAAGTAGGTTAACACCCAATTTGTGTCCTCATACATGTAATTTAGATAATGATGTCCATCACATTCCACCATCCTTGCTAATCCCCTGCCTTCTTCCTTTCCCTCCCACCCCTCTTCCTTATCTAGAATTATGTTTTATATCAGGTTATTTTGTAGCATAAAATATGTGCTAAATTTATTGTGAGCTCTGATATATTGCTTCATAACCAATCATATCAATTTCCAGGAAGATAAAATAATCATCCTGTATGCAAATAATAGAAATTTTTATATTCACCATTCCAATATTTTTGCTTTGTTTCAGGTTAACTATGAATACATTGCAGATGACATCTAAAGAGAAATGATGTAATTATGTAATAATCATATTTATATTAACAATGTCATAAGATTATGGTATCCTTTCATTTAGAGAATAAATACATAATGAGATGTCACTGTATTTTGCCATACCACACTATTTTTATTATTTTTGTATTAATTCATATGTGATATTATGCCACATAGTATTTTACTAATCTAAACAGCTTTCCTTTATTCTCTGCCTCTGAAGTCATTTAACTATCACAAAACTAATTTATTCAGAATATATTTAATGGAAAAATATAGTGCATACCAACTGTTTAGGGTACTGAAGGCAAGGGAGAATACTTTTTTGATATGTTTTTAAATTTCCATATATTTAATTATTCATTTCTTGAAACTTCCAATCACTTCATAGCCCATTTTGCTATTTTGGCTACACATATATCATTAGAAAATAATCCTGTTCTTAAAATTGTCAAATTTGCTGCCATTAAACTGTACAAAGCATTACTTTATGTTTTAACAATTTACATTATTAATGAAAACTGAGCACTGACTGAATTCTTTCTGACTACAGAAATAAAAGTTAAATCCTCTCCTTAAACATGGTGAAAATTTTCCTTTCTACTCCTTATTTTCTCTGATAGAGGGAACATTTAACACATATCCATATCCACACATTTTCTCTCAATTGTAATCTCTTTCAGATCCTCTTTTTTCTAGTTTCCTTTTACCTGAATTATGTCTGGACTTTTTCCCTCTCTTTCCCTCTTCAAAGAACAATTACAAGTTCGACAACATTCAGAACAACATTTCTCTAAAATACTTCAGGGAACCCATTCCTCCTGGCCTGAGCAGAATCATTTTCCCATGAAGAAACAGAGCATGTGATTTCTGGGGATTCTGGAGTAGGGCTCAATAAGATCTTTTCAGATAACCTCAAATACCAAAAGTAACCTTTCTTGTTAGACAGTGGCTGAGTTGGGTAAACTTCCTGTCTTTTCATGGATGTTATTCCACCTTTTAACCTCAATCACATTTAGCTTAGGAGAGCCAGCTGTAGTGGCACCCTGGTAATCCCAGCTCATCTGGAGGCTGAGGCAGGAGGATTGCAATTTTGAGGCCATCCTTGGCAACTTAGCAACAATAAAAAAAATTTTAAAAAGCTGGTGGTGTAGTGAGGTAAAAATGTAGTCAGTGCTAGAAGCATCCCTGGGTTCAATCCCTAGTACCCGGGGTTGGTTGGGGAAGCTTAGCAAACATGGGCAGAAATGAAAGATGAACACACAGCTCCATGTAATGTACAAATGTTGAACTCATGAAAAGGGCTGCACAGTCCAAAGAAGGCACTTGATTATTATGATATATATGACAATTATAATTTTTGACACTTGACTATTTTTCAAGTTGGGAACTTTGGGACACAACATAAAAAATTTAAGTTGAGTCACTTAAAGGAAAAGATGTGTACTGAAGGATGCGCCTAGTAGCCGAACCAGAAACCCACTAGGCCTGAATAGTAGGAGACCTCTTGTACACACTGGTCTCACAGGTGGTCCTGGAAATGGTACCCCTTGTGTAAGGCACCGGTTCTCTTCAATACCACCTGTTGCCCCTCCCAAGCAATGCATGCCTCTAACAGCAAGAAGCTCACAAACTGTACAACCTCTAAAACAGCCTCATTATCTCTAGCTGTCTGAAACATCATCCTAATAAGCTCATTAATGCCAACAATGTTTAAGAGAAGGATGCTTTATATCTGGTAATTAGCTGAGGTTAAAAAAGAAAACAAAATAAAATTAGAAATTGTAATGGGAAAACCAAAATGGATGCCATTATCCATGTTGCATTTTGCTGCTGCTGCTTTTTCCTTTATCTTAGGACTTGACAAATAGTCCTTTTTCATCCCTCCCTCAGCTTTCAGTGCCACTTAAAGAAAACATCCTCGGATGTGTATTATTGTGCTCTAATTACATTTGAGGGCACAGTGGCATGTGACTGTGGTATAATAACTAAAGCCCCGGAGTGCCTTTTTATTCCATTAAAAGTGACCTTAGCCTGGGATCACAGAGCTTTGCATTGATTTGTCTTTTTTGTGGTTTCCTCTCCACAGGTCTGCTTCCTCATCCAGGGTGATGCATTGAATTGTGACACACAGGGGGCAGTGAAATTAACTATCTTTCCCGTGAGAAATAATTCATCATTCAGGGTTTGCTACTAATGTGCCTCTGTTGCTAGTAAATGAAGTCATATGAAGTGTACAGAAGCTGTGGAACAGATGGGCAGTACATAAATATCATTTATGGATCATAATGGCAACAGCAATCATTTTCTCATTTATAAATGGGAGGCATTTGGACTGCAGTAAAGAAAATGTTGGTAAGTTTGGTTGTAAGAAACATGACTCTATTTCTATGGAAGTTGCACTCTTTAGGGCTAACTTAAACTTTGTTTTTGGCCTTTGGTAGTCTTTTAACAGTAATGACTAATGTTGGATCTGGATGTCTGCTTGTCTCCTAGTGGAAAGTCTTCCCTGCCTTTTCTGGAATTGAGGAAGTACTTTTGTTCTTGGGTCAGACAGTCATACATATGCCAGCTTGCTTGGTCTCTGGACTAGTTTTCCATTTGGATGAGAGGAGCTAGAAGGGATAGCTAGGGTGAGCTGGGATCATTCAGATTCATCATAAAAATATATACTAAGGACTTTTACTTTGTAAGCCAGACATTGTGCTAGACCATGTAAAAGGGACACAAAATGAACGAAAAGCCAGTGGCTCTTATTTGGTCCTACTGAGAAAGTAAACTTGAAACCAAAGAGGCATACACCAAAATGTTTACAGATGGATTGTTTATAACAATGGGAATTCAGAAGTGACCCATTTGTCTATCAATAAAAGAATAACAAAATAAACTATGAAATATCCATGCATTTGAAAACCATCACCACTTGTAAAGAATGAGATAGATCCATGTGTGAAAAGTGTTTCAAGATGTGATATTAGAACTAAATAAACTATTCAAAATGATATAGCCAGCATGATACTCTATGTAAACACATCACACACACACACACACACACACACACACAAATTTTTTCTCCATAATCAGAGGCTTAGAAAACAACCCTGGAAAAATATCCTCCAAAGTAGATCCTACGATTGTATAGTGTCAGGAAGTGCTATTCACCTTGGAGATGGATTATTTGGTGACAGTCTGGCAGCCATAGGTGATATTCCTACCACACCAACATGATTTTGGTTAACTCAGGAAGTGAAAGAGACCAGGATTAAAGATAGTTGTCAAAATGAGTTTTAAAAAATAAAACTCATTCTGGCCATCTAAAACTAAAGGGGAATTAATTGGTGGGATATCAATGGGAGGCTGGAGGACTGAACTTGAAAAATATGTAGGTTAGGTACCAAAACATCCTGAGGCAGTAGGAGCAGTGGTAGTGGTAGAGGAGAAGAGTGTAAAATCTTTCATTTACCAATGTTAGAAAGAAAAAAAAAACACTTCAATCCTTATTTTTCTAATAACACAAAGAGACAACTATGAATAATATGATTGGCCCACATGTATCTCTGAGTTTGGAGTTAAATTGAGACAGAGTCTTATTACCATTAAATTAATACATAAACCAGTTCAGCTGCCTGTTTAGGAAATCGTGACTGCCTCCTTCAGTGAAGTTTCTGAAACCAGTTGTCATTTCAACATCTACTCTATAAAGCACAAATCAAAATAAGTCACCATATCCCTTGTGTAAAACTGTCCAATGGCTCCTGCCAATTTAGAATAAAACCTTAAGTCTTCTGTATGGCTGTGAGGCTTACTGGACTCTGCTCCGCCTCTTGAGCCACAACTCTTCTCCCTCCCTCCCATGTTTCTTGTCTTCCTTTAGTTCCCAAATTCTCCAAACTAGTTCTTACCTTGGGATCCAACCACTGTTCCCTCTGCCTGGAATGCTCTTCCCCCAAGTCTTCACCTAGCCAGCTTCTTCTTGTCCTTCAGCTCTCAAAAGATATCTTGCAAAGAAGTTTCCTAACCAACTAAATTTAATCACAGCTCCTGAAGGCTCTCTCCATATTCCTTCATCCTGTGTTAATTTCTTCATAGTCCTTGTCACTACCCAAAATTTTCTTGCATCTTGATTAATCTGTTACACATTGATGAATTATCTACTCTAGAAGGCAAAATCCAGGGGAGCAGCATTCTTGTCTGTCTTGTTCAAATGCTATGTCCCCAGCCTGAATCCACAACTGCATGTGGCACACAAATGTTCACTGGACAAATTGTTTCCAGTTTACTCGACCATTTAGTGGTTGGATTTACTCAACCATTTCCATTTATTCCCCAAAGGCCAAGTAATTGTAGGGTAGTAGTCTGGATAAGACTTTGGAATATTCCTTTCATTTTATAGTTCAAAAAAGGGGGAACAGAAAGGTAGAGTCATCTGCTTAACATTGTAGTGAGTTAATAGCAAACATGGACTAAAATCCTGGTCTTTTTCACTTCTAGAGTCAAACTTTTTTAGTACGTCATGCTGACTACATCCTGAATGAATTGACTTTCAATTTGTGCCTTCTGTGGCCAACATACATGAAAGGCAATACAATTTCACAAAGATGTTCCCTTTCTGAAGATGACTCTGTTATCTATTACTGGGATGATTGGACACCTGGGCTGATTATAGTGGCAGGTACATGTTGAACAATTTCAATGTGCCACATATTAATATATAGTGATTTATAATCCCCCCAAATCTCCTCAAGTAAATACTGGTATCATCTCCATTTGTAGTTGGGGAGTTTAAGGCCCAGATATTAAGAAACTTACACAAGGTCACATAGCTAGTAAGTTTTGCAGTCAGGATCCAAACACAGGCAGTCTAATCCAAAACCCCTGCTCTTAATCGTTAATACTGCTCTGCCTCCTCTGGCCATGAAGCCCAATTTATCCTTCAAAATACTAAATCAGAGCGTTTCCACTGAGACAAAAGAAGGTAGATTCCTGGGTGAATCATGAGGCAAATGAGAATCAATAGTACAGTTTTCATCAATGCGGTATTGGCAGAACTGACTCTTTTTTAGGCTTTAATTTTCCTTTTACAAAGGTCCTCCATAAACAGCAATGAAAGAAAAAGAACAAACACCATTGAGTCACCAGCTTCCAAGGTACCGAGTGGTGCTTTATTGATGGCAGGTATATAGAGCTTCCTGGAACATGTTGTTTACGAATAAGGACTTCTTTCTGGCATCAGGAGAGCAGAGGGTTTGTGGATCCTGCTGGCCTTGGAGCATGACACACTAAATAATTGATTAAAGAGGAATGGCTTCGCTGCTTCTCCATGCAGGCCACAGTGTTTTATTAAAGCTGGTTTCTGAAGCTGGAGATGGCAATTGGACAAGGGCATAGACACAAGCTTGACAGAGACTCAAACAATACAGAACAAAGTCTCTGCTCCTGAGCAGGTGAAAACATCACCCTTTAGATCAAGTACAATTTCCTGAGTGAATGGAACAATTTTCGTAGCTAGGAATCCTTCTCAATTCTCTTAATTTTGGGCTATTAACTTTCTATTCTGATTGCTACCAAAATTTCCCCTACAATAAATTGGAGGTGGAGTCCAGTAGAATATAGAATCTTGGACATAAAAAGAAACTATCTTTAGGAAGATGGGAGTGCCAAGTGCCTACTGTATTTAAATGTGTAATTTTATAACACAAGTTAATGTATCTTTTTGATCCCCATTTTTAAAACTCTTTGGGCTTATAAGTTTGGGAATTTTCTGGCAAAACCTGGATTGCTTTGATAATGAAGTTTGATAACAAAATAGTTTCTTTTGCTTCCTCATAATCATATTTCAGATTGACCCCATCTAGAAGTAGTGACTGAATTATTTCCATGGTATCTTCTGGAGCAACAGAGTCCTATTGATACTCTGAGAGAAGAACAGATGAACATTTTAAGGAATATCTGGGTCAAATATACTTTGGGATGAACTTCCCTTAAAAACATTTAATTATTGCCAGACTTGGTGGCACACACCTATCATATCAGCTACTTGGGAGGCTGAGGTAGGAAGATTGCAAGTTCAAGACCAGTTCAACAACTTAGTGAAGCCCTAAGACATTTAGTGTTACCCTGTCTCAAAATTAAAAATAATTTTACAAAAGGGCTTGGGATGTGGCTCAGTGGTAAAGCACCCTAGGGTTCGATCTGAAGTACCAAACAACAAAACAAAACATTTCATTCTTTATTATTGTGTGGCTAAAAACAAGTTAACGTTCTGTAGACATTCAGCTCTTACCTATGAAAATATTTACTTCTCAGTATTAATTATTATTGTAATTTATTGTGGTCCTGCTATGTAGAGGGGGAAATAAAGCATATTAAATGAGGTCATATGGTTGCCAAATGGTTTCAAACTAATTAGTAGCTATATAGAATTCAATTTTATTTCCTTCTATTCTACCCCTCTCCAAAAATCACCACAAGCTAATGTTTATTGAAGGAAGTATATTTGAAAAACTACATGAAGTTGCTATTTTTATTGGTTTAAAAAATTTGAATACCAGAAATTTTAATACAGTTCAACCCTAATAGTATAAGTAACAGGGACTAGACATTAAACCTGGATCTTCATCTAAATAGTTGTCTGGTCTTAGTTAAGTAATTCAAACTCTCTGATCTTTTCTTAGCTCAAAATTGGAATTATTAGTGAATGCTCTCTGAAAACTTTTTAAGATTTTTGTCAGTATCAAAGTCTTATTTGCAATCTAAAGTATGCTTTTCAAATGCAGGATGTTATACACCTTAACTAATCTCTGTGTCAAAATTTTGTCTTCAAAAACATCATATTTCTCTGAGAAGAGCAATGTGATTTAGAAGTATAATGCTACTGTGGAACAGATGACTTTGTCCTTCAATGTGTTTTATTTATTTATATATTTGTCATCACCATTATTTTGTTGTGATGGGTGATGATCATTCTGGGGATCAATCCAGCGCCTCGCTGCATGCTAAATAAGTACTCTACCATATAGCTGCTTCTTAGCCCTTTTTATATATTTTTTTTAATATCAACCTGAGAATTAAGAAAATAAAAATCAACAGACCTGTTGGGTTTGTAGGTCCACATTCAACCTGAGAATCTCAATTTTCAGGACTGAGCAAATACTACTTACACTTGTCTAAGAATAATTCCAATCAAAATGTCAATATGCCAAGTTTGTTAAAGTTATCATCAAAGGCTTCTTCTTATGTGATTCATTGCTGATTTAAAGAATTATAGAATGACCATTATCATTTTCTGCCATAGTCTGTCTTGTCACGCTTGATTCTGTGAGGTAAAATGAACTCTTGGAGAAAACTGGCACTGG